CGCATGTTTAGAATCTCGTGCATCCATCATATAACCAACAAAACAGTTCTCCAACACGTGAATAAGGAGAGGAAAATTCTGAAACATATGAAAGAATATAAGCTTACTTACATGAGACATGTTATGCGCAACCAAAAGTATAGCCTGCTACAGCTAATAATGCAAGGGAAGATCCGCAGCAGAAGAGGCCTCGGAAGGCGGCGAATATCAGACATTAGATGCGAATTTCATGTGTAGACCTATTTCGAGCAGCAGCTAATAAAGTCAGATGTGGCCGAATTATTGCCAAAGTCCACTGAGGATATGGCACATGAAGAAGAAGGAGAATCACTTACATACAATACATCCAAATCGATGGATAGGTATGGGAGGAACGGAACATTGGCCTGCTCGGTCGCCGGATTTAAATCCCTGGATTTTTGCATTGGGAGTTTTCTTGAGTGTGAAATAATAAGATTTGCACCACGATTATTGGCGCAAATACGACAATCAATGAGGCGAAGAGTTGAATCTTCTATCACGTCTGAGTAAACATTTCTTGTTACTTTGTGCCTATAATTGAGATCGTTATCTGTGTGCGCGCCAATGATGAATATAAAATTTTTAATTGCATGTCAAAGGCACAATGACTGTCTCCTAAAAGCCAACAAATTTCCCTATCTCTACCGGTTTCCGCCCTATAAATCCATAGTCAGTTTTTGAGAAAAACATTAATGCCCCGTATCTTGGAAGCGAGTCATTTGCGGAATCATGAGCAAACTATCAATATTTTTTCATAAAGATTAACCCCCTGGAATTTGTCGCACTTATTGACTAACACCCTGTAGATGTCGTTTTCGATTGCGCAAGCGACGAGTCGCGACAATATTTAATATTCTAAAACCTTGTACAAAATATTCCAGATGCTATTTACTCTATGATACACCAGGTGTGTTAATAAGCTGTACCTACTTTATCTTCAAGTATTTATGTTTTACCATCATATGGCAGAGCCATTACATTTTAATATAATTAAGCGAGTGTGCAAGTGTTGATGTTGAAACAATGAACGTAATAAATTTCCTCACTTGTTCTAACACCGTCTAATTAATTAAAAGTTGTTTATGTTTCTGTGTTCATATAGGTACTGATTAAATTTTATAAGAAGTAATAATGCAATACAATAAAATATTTTGTTTTACAGGAAAAGTTAAAATAAAGAAGTATGGATAGTCAAATGATTGCTATCTATTCCATATTATATGTATAGTAAACACTTTTTAAAAATCAGACTATGAAGGCTTTCACGGCCTGTCAAATTACATTTAGAAATGTTTTCCGGGCTTTGAAGCCGTGGTCTATCGGAATTTCTTCCTGGTACGTTTCGTCCACAACTGAGGTGAACATTTTCAAAGGCGATGAGGCAGTGGGCGAAGTGATCTCCCGTGCTTTCCGACTAAGACTGATTCAACTGCTGGATTCTCCGTCGTATTTATGCAGCCCAGCCGTGTGTGCTCATGCGTGGGGGATGGGTGGGGGTTCCAACGCTTCGGCGCACATGCTGTTTGGCGCAAAACGCGCTTCCAATCTGGATTGAGTGCCGTAATTTCTTCTTTTCTGTTAAAATTGTTTTGGTGTTTAAATATTTCGATGGCCTCTCTGGTGAGTCTCGGGTAGTATCTTTCAGATTGGTGCAGAATGTCAACTTCGTTGAAGCGTATTTGGTGGCCGTCTAGCAGTGCGTGCTCCGCTACTGCTGATTTTTCCGTATGTCCCAATCTGCAACTTCGTTTGTGCTCCGTGATCCTAGTGTTTATGCTTCGTTTTGTGGTGCCGATGTATGCTCTTCCACAGCTGCACGGAACTCGGTAGACTCTTGGTGCTGATAAAGGATCCCGTTTGTCCTTGGCCGATCTCAAAGTCTGTCGGATGGTTCGAGTTGGTTTGAAAATGGTTTTTACTTGGAGTTTCTCCAGTATCTTGCCGATCCTGTCCGTGACTCCATGTATGTATGGGAGGCAAGCCCAACTCTTACGCTCATCATGCGTCTCTGTTGTCAGATTTAGTCATATGATGATATCTTAAGATACACAGAGTGTGAGACACTTTAGCGATGTTAGCACTAAGGATCCGTAGATTAAGTAGCAGTAAGAAGTTTATGTATACTTAGCTGAAATAAATATGTTCAAATGGGGCAGTTGAATCAGTCTTAGTCGGAAAGCACGGGAGATCACTTCGCCCACTGCCTCATCGCCTTTGAAAATGTCCACCGCAGTTGTGAACGAAACGTCAGGAAGAAATTCCGATAGACCAC